TTTTTTCTTAAAAAAAAAAAAAAAAAGTCTTATCAATTTACGGTATGTAAATTACGGCATCACGGCATTACTGTATTTACGACTTACAACATTTTACTACGGTAAACGGAATTAAATTATTTACGACATACTGTATTACTGTATGTACTCATTATACTGTAAATGATAAATTAGGGAATTTCAGTGGCATCTATACCGAGATGAGGGCTCTTGAAAAATAAAGAAACGCGAAAATAGTGTAATGAAAGACTTAAATAAAGTTGGTTGTATTTGAATCTGAACAAATATTAAATTATTGCGTATTGTAGACAATAATTTCACAAGTAATATTTATGACAACCTTGACAACCATACAAAATCACATGCTAAGAGACACTCGGCAATACTCAGTAAAATTCAGAGAATGAGACTAAGGTCTTTAAATTCGGAGCACTGATCCGAGTATATGGTTTTTATTTCATTCTAACCTCTGCCGAGTTTTTTCGGAAAGTAATAAAAGTGTCTCCCGTAACTTATGAAAACAGCAGTAATGAAATGTGAAAATGATGTACAGTACAACCGAGTTTCTTTTATTATCCTAATTTATCCTTATTACGCGCTACTAGATGGTATGATATACATTCTGCGGATCGGCGGATATGAACAGACAATTTATCTATATAAAGCTCAAAATTCTCACTTGAAATTCTAAACTGTCGACTCCAAAAAAAAACATGCCAATTAAATTAGAAATTCAAGATTTATCGAAATATGTTATAATCCTTACTGGTGCAACTGATGGTAAAATATTTTTTTTCAAAATTAAAACTTTTCTTAGTATGATAATAATTCTTTTTATTTAATTTTAAGGCATCGGTAAAGAAATGGCGAGGATTTTAGCCAGATCTAATCCAAAGCGATTGATTTTACCAGCTCGTAATATAGAAAAAGGAAATAAGCTATTAGAATATATTAAATCTTCTAATGGGAATGCAAACAATGTTGAAATTTGGGAAATGGATCTAGCAGATTTACAAAGTGTAAAAAACTTTGCTAATAAATTCATTAAAGAAGTCGGAGAATTACATATTTTAATTAATAATGCAGGTAAAAAAAAAAAATGAAAATAAAAATAGTGACTTATTAATCACGTTTCACGTTTATATATTTACTTATTTGAAATATTTTGTAGGATTAATCGTTCAGAATCAAATAATTAAAACGAAGGATAACTTGGAAATACAATTTCAGGTAATTTACTACCTTTTTTTTCAAGTCGTTTATTTTGGTATTCGCTTATTAATTTTTATACATTATTCAGGTCAATCATTTAGCACAATTTTTACTTACTTTATTGTTATTGGATACAATAAAAAAATCAGTTTCTGCTGAATTACCTGGAAAAATTGCATTAACTAGTTCAGAACTTAATTATTTTGGTGAAATTGATTTTGACAATTTAAACCTTGAAAAGGGTAATTATTGGAATTTTCTTAAATCCTATGGAAATACGAAATTGATGGTAAATATTTAAATCAAATTTCATTTTTAATAGTAAAATCAAAAAAATTTTTTTTTTTTTTATTTATATTATTTTTGATTTTTGATTTTTTTTTAAAAAAAAGAATATTATTGTTGCTAAGGAATTAGGCCGTTTAGTTCAAAACGATAGTAAGTATTATTAAAAAAAACTCATTTTTTTTACAGCATGAAAGAAAAATATTTTAACTCTTTTCTTTTAAATATGTAGATATTACAACATATTCGCTTCACCCTGGTTTAATTCAAACAAATGTAAGTCATTTAAATAGCACCTTCTCGAATATTTTAAATAGATTAATTATAAAAATAAGCGGAGAAATAACAGTTGAACAAGGTGCCATCAATACTCTCTATCCCGTATTTTCTCTCGAAAATAAAGAAACGGGAAAATATTATGATGAAGGTATTGAAACGGAACCAAATAAAATTGCTAATGATCAAGAAGTTGCAAAGAAACTATGGGATGTTTCTGAAAAAATATTAAAAGATCATGGAATGATCTAGAAATTTTATTTTATTTTTAATTTTATCTTACTATTTTTATTATTGTAATAATTACTCTGTATTATTTTATTTAAATAAAATAAATTAGCATTTCACTTATTGTCGTTGTATGATTCTGAATAAAATGCGAGGCAATAATTCGACTATAATTTTAGACTAAAATCTACCCTATAAAAAAACTTTATCCGTTATTTCTGTAAAAACTCCATAAAAATGAGCTTTTCACGGATCCATTCACCGGAAATGTAAATAGTAAATCGATAAATTCCGTGATATAAGGTTATTAATTCCGGAAATATGAGCCTTTTACGGAAAAAGATGGAATATAAAAAACGGATCGATTTTTTTACAAGGCTGGTCAGAATTTAATAAAGTCGTTATAGGTACGAATTTCTTTGAAAACTTTAAATAAATATATGCTTAACCTTCTTAGGTCGTAGGTCGTACTATGCATACCTTCATTAACTTGTAACTATCAATTTTTCGTGTATCGTTTCACATCATTCTTCAATGTATACATAACTCTTGGTTATTTTAAATTTTAATCATTCATACGTTTAAAATGCTATAACTTTATAGCATAAT